CCATGTTCACTGGTGCCTCTGCCCCCTCCCCACATACTCTGCACAAAGTCAGGGTGTTCCCTACAGGGTCCGCTGTGTTCTCATAGTCACTGAGTGGCTGCTCAGTGATGGGTCCTGGCAGATTCTTGGGCAGGCAGGACCCGGCCCCGCGAGTGCTTTCCTCAGACTTTGGCCAGCCCTGGCTGCAGCTCAGATCTTGGGCCGCCAGCCCTTGATGAACTGCATGATCTTCTTGACCTGCAGCTTGGTGAGGTGGAAGTCGTCTGCCAGGATGTCCTCACTGAGCTGCACAAAGATGCTGCCGTCGATGCGCTCGCGGGCAAAGAAGCTCACCACGTCCTCAGAGAGCCCTATGAAGCGCAGGCTTCGGGATACTTCCTCCAGGGAGAGCGCGGACAGGTCCGCAGGGGGCTGCCAGGAGGGGGCATCCTTGGGACTGGCAAGAGGCCCTTCCAGGCGCCCTTGGCTGAGAAACAGGCGGGCTCCTCCCACCTCAGGCCCCTGCAGAGCCGCTGGTGACAGTGGAGTGGGCACCTGCCTCAGCACCAAACCTTCGGGCTCGAAAGCCTTGGGGGGACCAAGTGGTGAAAGGCGGGGTCCAGGCCCAGGTGCACCCCCAGCCCTGGGCTCCTGGCAGCACAGCAGCCCGAGCTCAGGAGAGCTGCCCTGGCCCAGCTCAAAGGGGTCCAAGGGCTCCAGGGCCGGCTCCTGCCACTCAGAGGACGACAGGGAAGCGGGCGGAACAGCAGAATACGCCTGGCCTGGGGAGGCTGGTCTGGGAGAATGCCCAGGGCTGGAGGCGGCCAGGGGGCCAGAGGTGGCTGTAGGCCCAGAGGTGGCTGCAGGAGGGCCCGGGGGGTAGGCAGGCCCCGAGAAAGGGTTGAGAGCCCCCAGCGGGGCAAAGCATTTCTGGGAGTGAGAGGGCTTGAACAAAGGTGGGCAGCCATTGCAGGTCTTGAGCAGGGTCTCAGCACCCAAGAGGGAGGTGGCACGGCTGCCCAGGGGCTCTGTGAGGGCCCGCGAGGCCTGGCTGGGCTGTGTGGTGGTCGAGGCCCGGGGTCCCGGGGGTAGGTGGCCAGAAGACTCGCCCACCTTGCAGTCTCCCCAGGTACAAGGGTAGCAATAGAGGGAGTAGGCATCCGGGGACGGGGAGCCACTGCCACTGCGGGAACCTGCCCTGTTGACAGAGACAGAGGACACACAGGAGAGTGAGGCAGAGCAAGAGGGAACTTCCTCAGGGTCACACACACAAGGCAGTGCACCGGGATTCTGTCCGACCAGAGGCCACCACTCTGATCACAGCCCCAAGGCTCAGACCTTCCAAGACTGCCCTGGTCCTGCTTCCAGCGTCACCCAACCAGGGTCAGGAAACGCAGCTGGAAAGGATTGAACCAAACGAAATAAACACGGAAGAACAGCACAGAGCACTCTCTCCCACAGCAGAGTCCACTCCCAGGGGCTAGGCAGACCCCATCGCTCGGGGAGGAAAAACTGAGGCAGTAAGTCGCAGAACAGGCGCAGGTCCGGGCTCTTCCTAGGCTACAGCTCCAGGCGCAGGGGCCCTGCTCCCTCAGAAACCCGAGGCCAGACCCCGGCCCTGCCCCGGTGCACCTGAGGACTAAGAGGGAGGCACTCACCCATCCTGGAGGCCAGAGGAGTAGTAGGAGAGACTGGAGCTGGGCGAATGGACAGGCTGCAGCTTGGGGAAGCGGGGCGGCACAGGGGGACTGC